ACCGAACTTCAGAGACTATGCCTCAAAATATTGTAATTAAATCAGTTGGTGATTTACTGTACATCCCATGATGCCTATATTACCGCTGCTTTTTTGAGATTCTGAGAAATTCATACTCTGCTATGTGACAGACGCCCTCAAACATACGTGTTTAGTGTCCTACAAACAACGCCCTCTATGCCCACATTAACACATTGACAGTGTCACCTCGCTGCATACTGGACTCAGTGTACCCCTTAGTGGTTTGTAAAATACCTCCACATCAATCTCGCAAATTGTCTTAATCATCATTTGTTCTGCTGACCAGATTCATCAAATCATAGACTCTTATCTTGTCCGGTATCTAACTAAAATGTCTGCAAAGCAATAATTGAGACAATACGTGCATATTAGAAAATATAGCCTAATAATATTGATTATGTAAAGCATAACATCACAAAATTTCTTAAGGTAAGCCTTGTAATTTCTTTTAATTACCTCTAATTAATATTTCAATTTATAATGAAACTGTGACTAGAATATTATCATCATCAGATTCATGGCTATTTTTGCACGTGGAAATCAAAGATCTACTCTACCTTTTCAGGCATAAAATTCATCAGATCATAGACTCTTGACTGATTTTAAATATTTTTGTCTTTCTAATCAATCGCATAATTTTGATGGGATTTGGTAAGCGAATAATGCCTCGAGCCACATTGACATCAGCATTGTTAAAGTTTACTCATAATATGTTCACGCCGTGTCTAGGTGATTACCTATTCTTGCATTGTTTTTGTTGAAACAAAGAAATTGTCACTCCCGTATCTTAGTATGCCAAGCTGATTAGAAGAGAGATGCGCACATAAAGATGAATATTATACCTCTCAGTTTATGCAAATTATACTGTATGTAGCATGAACCACGTTTACAGTGGCGCATTTGCAAATAGTATGGATACATTCGGTTAACTTGATTACGACGACAATCAGGAAATACGGGCGCAGAAAACCGCAGCTGGCAAATTGTGCCCGCACTAATTAATCAATAATAACGTCATAACAACACAGATAAAATGCACAATTTGAATATGGTAACAAATGCAACTGGAATGTCCTTCAAATCACAATGTCATAATTGAGTATGATTATATCACTGGAATATCTTTCAAATCACAATGACTACATTGAGTATGATTATATCACTGGAATGTCCTTCAAATCACAATGACATCATTGAGTATGATTTTATCACTGGAACGTCCTTCAAATCACAATGACATCATTGAGTATGATTGTATCACCGGAATGTCTTTCAAATCACAATGACATCATTAACTATGATTATATCACTGGAATGTCCTTCAAATCACAATGACATCATTGAGTATGATTGTATCACTGGAATGTCTTTCAAATCACAATGACATCATTAACTATGATTATATCACTGGAATGTCCTTCAAATCACAATGACATCATTAACTATGATTATATCACTGGAATGTCCTTCAAATCACAATGACATCATTGAGTATGATTATATCACTGGAATGTCTTTCAAATCACAATGACATCATTAACTATGATTATATCACTGGAATGTCCTTCAAATCACAATGACATCATTAACTATGATTATATCACTGGAATGTCCTTCAAATCACAATGACATCATTAACTATGATTATATCACTGGAATGTCCTTTAAATCACAATGACATCATTAACTATGATTATATCACTGGAATGTCCTTCAAATCACAATGTCATCATTGAGTATGGTTATATCACTGGAATGTCCTTCAAATCACAATGACGTCATTAACTATGATCATATCACTGGAATGTCTTTCAAATCACAATGT